ACTGAGCACCTTGATGGCCAGGAACGGCTGCATCAATCACCGCGATCCGAATCAGAACACCAGCGCCGACACCACCCGCAAGGCCATCCCGACCCGGGGTAACAGCAGCAGCGCGAGACGCCCCAGCGAACTCGTCGCCGAGCGCCGCGACCAAGGCGGCGCCGAACCGCCTCGCGCGGCAGCCGCGGTGCTGAAGGCCCCGAAAGGCCCGCAGCAGTGCCTGGGCGGCGCGCGCCCGGGCCCGATCGGCCTGGGCGCGGCGCTCCGCCGCGGACCGGCGAGGCTGGGCAGCCCGCCCATCAGCAGCGCGCGCCACGTGCCATGGCGGCGGCATGGGGAAGGAAGGGCGAAGAGGAAGAGGCGGCGCGGGGGGCGCCGGTGGCGCGGGCTCGCAAGGCCAGATGGGGGCCTGGGCCGAGCTGGCGCTCGTCTGCTCGAAGGTCACGGTTGTCTGGCCTGGGAAGTTGGCGCGGTAGGTAGGGCCCTGCTGCGGTCGCTGTCGCAGGGTCTCCACCAACCCCGCTCTCCGTTGCTGAACAGCCCCAACCTTGTCCTCCGAAGTGTCCCCTCCTCCTCCTCCTCCTCCTCCTCCTCCTCCTCCTCCTCCTCCTCCTCCTCCTCCTCCACCCTGGTGTGGGGCGCCCGGGGCGGCACCCCGCGCAGCTCTCCTGCGTCCAATCCGCCGCCGCACGCGCGGCCCCGCCCTCCGCCTCGGCGGGCGCCGAGCCGTCGGGGCGCCGGAGGCTCGAGGAGGCTCGGGGGAGGCTCGAGGATCGAGGATGGAGGAGGATCGGGGAGGATGCAGGATCGAGGAGGATCGAGGAGGACCCAGGAGGACCGAGGAGGATCGAGGAGGACGGACGAGTCTCGAGGAGGACCCAGGAGGACCGAGGAGGCTCGAAGAGGATCGAGGAGGACCCAGGAGGACCGAGGAGGCTCGAAGAGGATCGAGAAGGATCGAGGAGGCTGGAGGAGGATCAAGGAGGACTGACGAGTCTCGAGGCAGATCGAGCAGGGTGCAGTCGGCGCCTCTCGGCACCTCTTCGCCTTTCTGGGCGGCCATCATCCATCGGGGGCCCTCGGCCCTGGCAGCAGCGCTCACCCTCGGCCTCCGCTGCCCGCCATGCGAGAGTCTCGCTCTTGATGCCACAACGATGCCAGAACAATTGATGTAGTGATGGCGTTTGCGATATATATATATATATATATATATATATATATGCACACGTATCTATAGGTGTATATACATGGAAATATATACCGATGTAGATATACACTTATACAAATATATATATATATATATACATGTGAGATGCGTGTGTGTATGTAGTGTGTGGATTGTGTGGTGAGTATGTTGTGTGTGTGTTGTGTGTTGTGTGTTGAGTGTTGAGTGTATGGTTTGTATGAGTGGTGTGTGTTGTGCGTTGTGCTCTGTGTGTGCTGTGTGTTGTGTGTGGTGTGTGTGTTGAGTGTGTTGGGTATGCTGGGTGTGTTGTGTGTTGTGTGCTGTGTGCTGTGTGTTGTGTGTTGTGTGTGTTGTGTGGTGTGTGTGTGTGTTGTGTGAGTTGTGTGTCGTGTTTTGTGCGTGTTGCGTGTTGTGTGTGGTGTGTGAGATGTGTGTGGTGTGTTGTGTGTTGTGCTGTGTGGTGCTGTGTGTGTGGTGTGTGTGGTGTGTGTGGTGTGGTGTGCGGTGTAGTGTGTGGTGTGGTGTGTGGTGTGTGATGTGTGCGTGTGTGTGCGTTGTGTGCGGTGTTTGTGGTGTGGGTGTTGTGTGTTGTGTGTGGCGTGTAGTGTGTTGTGTGTTAGGAGTTGTGTGTTGTGTTTGTGTGTTGTGTGTTATGCGTGGTGAATGCTGTGCTGTGTGCTGTGCGCTGTCTGCTGTGTGCTGGCTTGAGGCTTGAGATCCCTCCAAAACGGCTCAAGAGGGCGCCAGGGATCCGAGGTTCCGGGGGAAGCCGCGGAGAGCCCCAGGGAGCCATCGCGGCAGCAGCCCGGAAAACGGCATACAGCGGAGGGGCACCTGCGTGACGAGGAGAGCAACAAAACGCCGCGAGGCGCGGTGCCGTGGCACGGCACAGGTCCAAGCCTGCGCAGCCTCGGAGACGGCAGGCACGTCAACGTCAGAAGGCGGCGAGCAGAGCGTCCCCGTCGACGCCGGGGCGAGGGAGGCAGAGGCACGGCCTCACCGAGCGACGCGGGCACGGTCGATATACGGTGGCGGGGCCGAGTGCTGACTACCTACCAGACCACCCCAACCCAACCCGAAGACCCGAATTTCGGGTTGGGGGGTAATGAAGGGTTCCCTATGTGTTTTTGTCGATGCTTCCAGACACCCCCCCCAACTGGCAATGGAGGGCAAATCGAGGCCTTCGGGTGGAGGGTCGGGGTGGTTTGGTGGGTGGTGAAGTGCAAGCGCGAGACGACGAGGCCTTGCGCACCACGGCGTGGGCGACCTCTTGCACGGGTCGCCCGACTCCGCGCCGCTTCGCGCCCCCTCGAGGCGCCGGCGCGCGGGCAGCTCTTCGCGCCGCGTCGCGCCCTCTAAAACGACACGAAGATCGGGACAAAATCGGATCGGGATGACTCGAAATCTCTGAGAATCGGCGGGTTTGGAGGATGTATTGGGCGCCGCGGCCGCTCCAAGTGTTCCGGAAACGCTCCTGAGAGCGCTCCGTAACGCTCCTGGAGCGATTATCATCCCGATTCCTAGCTCTGTTTTGCCCTCGCGCCCGCCCCGGAGGACGCCTGCTCTCGAACGGCCCCCTCCCTGGCCCGCCACGCGCGGTAAAGAAGAAAAAAAAAAAAAAGATAAAATACAAAAAGAACAAAAATAGTAAAAGGAAGCAAAACAACCTAACTACGGAGAAGAAAAGAGGGAGAACTACAGTAAGGCGCGCTTGCCCCTCGAGCCCCCGCGCGCGGCCCGGCCTCGCGCGGCGGCCTGCGCGCAGGCCGCAGGCGCGGCACGCCCCAGCGGAGACGGGGGCGCCGGCACGCGCCGCTGGGCCCTCGTGCTTGCCATGCGGGCAGCGCCCACGAGGGAGCGAAGGGGGCCTCCCCAGACCCCCTCGGGTCGTGAAAAAATCACGACGGGAGGTTTTTCGACATTTTCGGCCCCCGGGGGCCCTTACCGGGCCTCGGGACCGTCCAAAAGACGACTCGGGATGAAAAACCGGTCCCAGGGAAGGGGTCCGGACCTCTGGGGGTCGCGTCATGAAAAAAGCATGACGTCAGTGGTCTGGGTCTGCGGCCACGGCGGCGCCCCTCGGCCACGAGCAGGCCCCCCCCCGACCTATCCCCGAGGTCCGACGCTGCGAGACAACAGAAACGCAGCATCGCATGAATTACCAGCCTGGGACACATCCCTATCCCTGTGCTGGGCATCTCCTCATCACGATGCCAACCTTAGGGACTCCCTTGTTTTTTTTCAGGGCGCATCCCTGAGATTGTCACCGCCTTCTGGCGTGTCAACCTCAGGGATAGGGAGACGTTCGAGGCTGGCAATCGCAGACAATCACGACGGAGCCGCGGACCCCCATCGCCTTCCTGCGCCACTCCTCGAGCGCCGAGGTAGACTTGGGCGCCCGAGTTATCCGGGGTAACTCGGGTCCGGGGTAACTCGGGTTTGCCTTCCCGAAAAAGGAACCCGAGTTAGCCCTGACCCGAGTTACCCCTGATGATGCGGGGCTCTGATAGACCTGCGAGGGCACCGGGGCCAGCGGTGGAGCGGCGGCGCCCGCTGTGAGAACCTGGCAGCGCGCCAGGATCTCGGGCCCAGCTCCAGAGAGCGGGCCCGAGCCCCTCCCGAGCCCCAAAACGGGCTCCCCCCCCAAAAAAACAGCACGTCCGCGCCTGGGCCGTCCGCTGTCCCTTGGCTGTTTGTTGCGCTGGAGAAAAAAATAATCACAAAAAAACACAAAAGTCACAAACAAAAACACAAACAAATCACACAAATCTTTCAACAAAACACACACACACATCAAACCAACAACAAAAAAAAAACAAAAAAAACACGGCGAAACAAAAAACGGTTCGGGCGGCCCGGGCCCCCGCTGGCGCACGTCGCGTCGCTCACCTGTGGGCCGCCCGCTTTCGCGCAAGGGGGCCGCCCCCCCCCAGTGCAGCGTCGCGCCCTCGCGCCGTTCCGACCCCTCGGGGGAGCCCTCGGGGGTGCCCACAAGGTAGAGGAGGCCATGGAGGAGGAGGAGGAGGAGGAGGAGCAGGAGGAGCAGGAGGAGGAGGAGAAGGAGGAGGAGGAGCAGGAGGAGGAGCAGGAGGAGGAGGAGGAGGAGGAGGAGGAGGAGGAGGAGGAGGAGGAGGAGGAGGAGGACCTCCTCATCCTCCCTCATGGCATCGGCGGTAGAAAATGTGCCCCATGTACACGAACACGGCCCCCGGACTGGCCGCGTGATACGAACGATCGCGCAGTGCATACTCTCGAAACCAGCGTGGATTCATGTGCGTGTGCGACCGGCTTGCGCTCCTGAGACCCCCCCCCCCCTGTCGGGGAGACGCACGATGGAGGTTCAGGGGACTCGGATTGGCCTGACGGGACCGTTGGAGAAATGGCGAGACCCGGCATGCTATCTGACGCGAATTCTCCCGCCGCAGACATCCAATGAAAATTCGCCCGTCAGACTACAGGACAGGCCCGTCCAAAAGCGTGGCCTATCCGGAGTCCTGGCGAACTCGGCACGGGGGAAGGACACATCCAAATGCGCCAAGGGAGACACAAATAAATAGACACACACACACACACTCCAGGAGTCCCCACATGTTCGTGTATCTTCTGGATGTTCGTCTTCCCCTCCACTTCCAATAGTTTCACAGATTGTCATGGGAGGCGACGTATATTTGTGTCTGTGTCACCGTTTCCTCCCTGAAACTCTCGGGCCCCAACCGCGAGGCGCGAGGCGCGAGCCGTGGTTCCGCTTCTCCCCTGTAGGCCCCAGCGTCCGACAACGTGCAGGTATGTACTACGGCGTGGGTCCCTCAGAGGCTTTTTTGTTCTGGCAAACGCCCGCCCCATTGGAGGTCTGACTTGCACTCGTCGCGTCAAATACGAAGCTGGCTGGACAGTCGTCAAAAGGGTTGTGCGAAATCTTGCCTGACTGTAAGAAGTGACGCGACAACTGTGCACGTTGCACACAGGTCGCTGACATGCTTACAACGCTAGCCCTACGAGACACGGCTTGAGTGCTAGCCAGCCGCTTGCCCAGAGCAAGCAGGCCGACTCGAAAAATGGTATGCCAAAACAGAGCGCTCAAAATGCCCTCGAAACTGAATTACTAAAACCTTTGAATCAAATGCGCACGACCAACATGGATCTTGAAACGATCAGCTCAACTCCTTCTTCTGCCAATTGAAGCTGGCTGCCTGGACGGAGGACTCGCCCGTGTAGCCGAGCTTCTCCTTCCAGCCCGGGTAGATCTGGTCCGCATCCTTCTGGAACGTCAAGAACGCGCCCTTGAGCTCCTCGTGCGTCTTCGCGTACTCGACGACGCCGTCCGATAGGCTCACGTCGCCGTAGGTGCCTGCCTTCCACAACTTCCACGACTCCTCGCCCTGGGCGCACGAGATCGCGCCCTGCTTCGGCCCGTCCTTGTGCCCGAAGGCCCCGCCGCCGGCCGTCAGGATAACGTTCGAGTGGCCCAGGTTCTCGAAGAACGCAGGCAGCCGCAAGGCGTTCATGCCACCCGAGATGAGTGGGGTGGTCTGCTTCATGCCCTCCCACTCCTGGCGGTAGTAGGGGCCGTCGGCGACGTCATCTTGCAGCATGAAGCCGATGTTCTTGTCCGAAGCGTCGCCCTCCATCTTGCCAAAGCTCATCGTGCCCGTGTGGATGCCGCTGGCACCGATGACGCGCGACAACTTGGTGTGCACGAAGGCGGTGTACCCGCGCTGCGTCTGCGGGCTGGTCACTGCGCCGTGGCCAGCGCGGTGGTAGTGCAGGAATTGCTTCGGGAAGTTGCGGCGCGCAACGGTCACCGCAGTGCCGCCAGCCACGTAGCCGTCGACCAAGAAGGCGCAATTCTCCGCCATCGGGCCCATCTGGTTCAAGATGTACTTGGCACGTGCGATCATCTCGTTCGGGTCATCCGCCGTAATGTTGGCGGAGAACAACTTGCCCTGGCCCGTTTCCTCCTGGGCCGCGCGCATGGCCTTCACGACTTCGGGGATGCATTCGTTCATCTGGCAGAACGTCTGGTTGCCCTGCGGCTCATCGTTCTTGATGAAGTCGCCGCCCTGCCAGAAGCCATAGCACGCCTGGCCGAAGGGCTTCGGCTGCAAGCCCGAGCTTGGGCTTGATAATGTGCCGACCACCAGGCCACCGCCGACCGTGCCGCGGCCCAGGATGCGCCACATGTCGATCACGCAGCACGACGGCCCGTCGAACAGGCGCAGGTACTGCGGCGGAAAATAAATATCATAGATCTTCCCGTAGTCGACGTCGCCCATACCCTGGTTGTTCCCGATGCTCAAGGTCAGCACGGAACACATCATCGCGCGGCCGTCTGTGATGTTGCGGTCGAACAAAGCCGTCGGGTAGGCGATCTTCATCTCCTCGTTCTCAGGATCGATGTAGTAAACGAGCGCGTCCACAGTCTTTGTGAAGTCGTCGGTGGTGCACACGTTCACGTTCGTGCCTGTAGAGGACTCCGCCGCGAAGTGCGCCGCAGTGGCCAAGTAGTCGTAGCCCGCCTTGGGCTTCATTATGTAGGCCACCAGCACGTGCTGGCCGTTCTTGATCAGGTCCTCCTCCGTCAGCGAGAGGTCCGCGTAGCGGCTCGACTGGTCCAGGGCCTGGCGCGTCACAGAGCTCGCTTTGCGAGCCTTGCTGGCGCCAACGAACGCCGCGGCCAACTCCTTCTTTTGCCAATTGAAGCTGGCTGCCTGGACGGAGGACTCGCCAGTGTAGCCGAGTTTCTCCTTCCAGCCCGGGTAGATCTGGTCCGCATCCTTCTGGAACGTTAAAAACGCGCCCTTGAGCTCCTCGTGTGTCTTTGCGTACTCGACGACGCCGTCCGACAGGCTCACGTCGCCGTAGGTGCCTGCCTTCCACAACTTCCACGACTCCTCGCCCTGGGCGCACGAGATCGCACCCTGCTTCGGCCCGTCCTTGTGCCCGAAAGCACCACCACCAGCCGTCAGGATGACGTTCGAGTGGCCCAAGTTCTCGAAGAACGCAGGAAGCCGCAAGGCGTTCATGCCACCCGAGATGATCGGGGTGGTCTGCTTCATGCCCTCCCACTCCTGGCGGTAGTAGGGGCCGTCGGCGACGTCGTCTTGCAGCATGAAGCCGATGTTCTTGTCCGAAGCGTCGCCCTCCATCTTGCCAAAGCTCATCGTGCCCGTGTGGATGCCACTGGCACCGATGACGCGCGACAGCTTGGTGTGCACGAAGGCGGTGTACCCACGCTGCGTCTGCGGGCTGGTCACTGCGCCATGGCCGGCGCGGTGATAGTGCAGGAACTGCTTCGGGAAGTTGCGGCGCGCAACGGTCACCGCAGTGCCACCAGCCACGTAGCCGTCGACCAAGAAGGCGCAATTCTCCGCCATCGGGCCCATCTGGTTCAGGATGTACTTGGCACGCGCGATCATCTCGTTCGGGTCATCCGCCGTAATGTTGGCAGAGAACAGCTTGCCCTGGCCAGTTTCCTCCTGGGCCGCGCGCATGGCCTTCACGACTTCGGGGATGCATTCGTTCATTTGGCAGAACGTCTGGTTGCCCTGCGGCTCGTCGTTCTTGATGAAGTCGCCGCCCTGCCAGAAGCCATAGCACGCCTGGCCGAAGGGCTTCGGCTGCAAGCCGAGCTTGGGCTTAATGATGGTGCCGACCACCAGGCCACCACCGACCGTGCCGCGGCCCAGAATGCGCCACATGTCGATCACGCAGCACGACGGCCCGTCGAACAGGCGCAGGTACTGCGGCGGGAAGTAGATATCGTAGATCTTGCCGTAGTCGACGTCACCCATACCCTGGTTGTTCCCGATGCTGAGAGTCAGCACGGAGCACATCATTGCGCGGCCATCGGTGATGTTGCGGTCGAACAAAGCCGTCGGGTAGGCGATCTTCATCTCCTCGTTCTCAGGGTCGATGTAGTACACGAGCGCGTCCACAGTCTTTGTGAAGTCATCGGTGGTGCACACGTTCACGTTCGTGCCTGTAGAGGACTCCGCCGCGAAGTGCGCCGCAGTGGCCAGGTAGTCGTAGCCCGCCTTGGGCTTCATGATGTAGGCCACCAGCACGTGCTGGCCGTTCTTGATCAGGTCCTCCTCCGTCAGCGAGAGGTCCGCGTAGCGGCTCGACTGGTCCAGGGCCTGGCGCGTCACAGAGCTCGCTTTGCGAGCCTTGCTGGCGCCAACGAACGCCGCGGCCAACTCCTTCTTTTGCCAATTGAAGCTGGCTGCCTGGACGGAGGACTCGCCAGTGTAGCCGAGTTTCTCCTTCCAGCCCGGGTAGATCTGGTCCGCATCCTTCTGGAACGTTAAAAACGCGCCCTTGAGCTCCTCGTGTGTCTTTGCGTACTCGACGACGCCGTCCGACAGGCTCACGTCGCCGTAGGTGCCTGCCTTCCACAACTTCCACGACTCCTCGCCCTGGGCGCACGAGATCGCGCCCTGCTTCGGCCCGTCCTTGTGCCCGAAGGCCCCGCCGCCGGCCGTCAGGATAACGTTCGAGTGGCCCAGGTTCTCGAAGAACGCAGGCAGCCGCAAGGCGTTCATGCCACCCGAGATGATCGGGGTAGTCTGCTTCATGCCCTCCCACTCCTGGCGGTAGTAGGGGCCGTCGGCAACGTCGTCTTGCAGCATGAAGCCGATGTTCTTGTCCGAAGCGTCGCCCTCCATCTTGCCAAAGCTCATCGTGCCCGTGTGGATGCCGCTGGCACCGATGACGCGCGACAACTTGGTGTGCACGAAGGCGGTGTACCCGCGCTGCGTCTGCGGGCTGGTCACTGCGCCGTGGCCAGCGCGGTGGTAGTGCAGAAATTGCTTCGGGAAATTGCGGCGCGCAACGGTCACCGCGGTGCCGCCAGCCACGTATCCGTCGACCAAGAAGGCGCAATTCTCTGCCATCGGGCCCATCTGGTTCAAGATGTACTTGGCACGTGCGATCATCTCGTTCGGGTCATCCGCCGTAATGTTGGCGGAGAACAGCTTGCCCTGCCCCGTTTCCTCCTGGGCCGCGCGCATGGCCTTCACGACTTCGGGGATGCATTCGTTCATCTGGCAGAACGTCTGGTTGCCCTGCGGCTCATCGTTCTTGATGAAGTCGCCGCCCTGCCAGAAGCCATAGCACGCCTGGCCGAAAGGCTTCGGCTGCAAGCCGAGCTTGGGCTTGATAATTGTGCCGACCACCAGGCCACCGCCGACCGTGCCGCGGCCCAGGATGCGCCACATGTCGATCACGCAGCACGACGGCCCGTCGAACAGGCGCAGGTACTGCGGCGGGAAAATAAATATCATAGATCTTCCCGTAGTCGACGTCGCCCATACCCTGGTTGTTCCCGATGCTCAAGGTCAGCACGGAACACATCATCGCGCGGCCGTCAGTGATGTTGCGGTCGAACAAAGCCGTCGGGTAGGCGATCTTCATCTCCTCGTTCTCAGGATCGATGTAGTACACGAGGCATCCACAGTCTTTGTGAAGTCGTCGGTGGTGCACACGTTCACGTTCGTGCCTGTAGAGGACTCCGCCGCGAAGTGCGCCGCAGTGGCCAGGTAGTCGTAGCCCGCCTTGGGCTTCATGATGTAGGCCACCAGCACGTGCTGGCCGTTCTTGATCAGGTCCTCCTCCGTCAGCGAGAGGTCCGCGTAGCGGCTCGACTGGTCCAGGGCCCGGCGGGCCACGCTGGCGCGCGAATGGACCGGAACAACGCACGAGGCCTGGCCGGCCGCCAGCTTGCTGGCGCGACCGCGGCGCTTGGACCCGACCGCCGCGGCGATGGCGGCGGCGGCCGCCGGCGCTGCCAGGGCTGCCGCTCCCCCCGTGGGGCTGGGCTGCTGGGCGTGCGCGGCGCCGCGGAGGGCGGGGGCCGCCTCCGCAGGGGAAGCCTGCAGCGTCTCCTCGAAGGCGGCGCGAGGCGGAACCTGCGAGGACACGAAGGATTGGCCGTGCTTCAAGCAAGCGACGGCCGCCAGGCCAGCGGCAGCCCCGAGTGAGGCGCGTTGGGCCATGTCGCGGGTAGGGCCGAGCCGAGCTCGCACGGTCGACAAGCTGGCTCTACAAAAATTGCCTCAGCCAAAACGGCTTGAGTCAAAAACACTCGAGCCAAAATGGCTACGGACTCCCGTCTCCCCGCATCGTCGTCGACGTCGCCGACGCCGCCGACGCCGCCGTCGTCGACGTCGCCGTCACCGTCCTTCTTTCCATCACCATCACCATCACCATCATAATCACAATCACCGGCACCATCACCATCACCATCATCAGCCTCATCCTCCTCATTCTCCTCACCCTCCTCCTCCTCCTCCTCGTCCTCCTCCTCCTCGTCATCATCATCATCCTCCTCATCATCATCAGCAACATTAAGATCATCATCATCACCACCACCACCACCATCCACCACCACCACCACCACCACCACCACCATCATCATCATCATCATCATCATCATCAGCATCAGAATCAGCATCAGCATCAGCATCATCATCGTCATCGTCATCGTCATCGTCATCGTCATCGTCATCGACATCGGCATCGGAGAGAGCGTGATCCACCGCCGCTTTACTGTGGAAAATTCCCCCCCCCTCTTCCTCCGGAACCCAGGGGTTCCCCCCCCCTCCGAAAATCCCCATCCCCCCCCCTGCGGGACCCCCCCCCCTTCCCCGGCAACCCCCCCCCTCCCCTACCCCGCCCCCCCTCCCGATCCAGAAAAAATCCGGGGGGGGCACTACCGGCTCGAACACCTCCCAATCCCCCCCCCCTCTCCCCCGGGAAAAAACGGAGGGGGGGGTTCACTAGCGGTTCGAACCCCTCCCCCCCCACCCCCCCAAGAAAAAACCGAGAAGGTCACTACCGGTTCGAACCCTACCCCCCTCCAGAAAACCGAGGGGGGTCACTATCCGGTTCGAATCCTCCCCCACCCCTCGAAAACCAGGGAGGGCACTACTGGTTTCGACCCCCCCCCCCACCTCGAAAACCTGGACGGGGGCCGGGGGGTCACTAACGGTTCGAACCCCCCCCCTCCCCCTCGAAAACCGGGGGTGGTCACTGCCGGTTCGGACCCCTCACCCCCCACCTCACCGCCAGCAAACGACTCCAGGTCCCTGACACCGTCCGCACCACCTCCCCCCATGCTGTTCCCAGCACCACTGTCCTCACCACCACTGTCCCCACTGGTTCCACCACCGTCCCTACTGTCCCCACCAGTGCCCCCACCACTGTCGCACTGTCCCCACTGCCCCCACCACTGTTCCCACCACGGTTCCACTCTCCCCACTTTCTCCACGGCCCCAACCACTGCCCGACTGTCCCCAATGTGCCTAATGTGCCACTGTCTCCTCCGCTGTCCCACTGAGCTGTCCCACTGTTCCCACCACTGTCCCCAGCACTGTCCCCACTGTACCTCTGTCCCATTGTCCTGTCCCACCGCCGTCCTCGCCACCGCCCTCACCACTGTCCCCACCACCACTGTACCCTCCACTGTCCCACTGTTTCCACCACATTCCCACGGTCCCCACACCACTGTCCCCACCACCACCGTCCCCACCACCACCGTCCCCACCACTGTCCCACTGTCACCACTGTTCCCACCATTGTCCCCGCTGTCCCCACCAGTGCCCCCACCAGTGTGTCAATGTCCCCACTCTCCCCACCATTGTCCCACCACGATCCCGCTCTCCCCGCTTTCCCCACGGTCCCCACCACTGTCCCACTGTCCCCATTGTACCCACTACTGTCCCACTGTCCCCGCCGCTGTCCCACTGTGCTGTCCCAGCGTCCCCACTGTCCCCATCACTGTCCCACTGTCTCCACTGTCCCCACCACTTTCCCAACTGTGCCACTGTCCCACCACTGTCCTCACCACCGCCTTCACCACTGTCCCCACCACTAGCGTCCCCACCACTGTCCCACTGTCCCCACCAGTGTCCCGCTGTCCCCTCACCACTGTCCCCACCACCACCATCCCCACCACCACCGTCCCCACCACTGTCCGCATCCCCCCCCGGGTTTTCGAGGAGGGGGGGGGTTCGAACCGGTAGTGACCCCCCCCAGTTTTCGAGGGGGGGGCGGGGTTCGAACCGGTAGTGAACCCCCCCCCTTTTCATGATGGACTGGGGGGGAGGGGTTCGAGCTGGTAGTGACCCCCCCCGGTGTTCCGAAGGGGGGGGGGGAGGGGGGAGGGGGTTCGAACCGGTAGTGACCCCCCCCGGTTTTCCGCCAGCAGCGGTAGAACACGCTCTTTCCGACATCGACATAGACATCGTCAGCATCATCCTCATCGTCGTTGTCATCAACATCATCATCATCATCATCATCATCATCATCATCATCATCATCATCATCATCATCATCATCATCATCATCATCATCATCATCATCATCAGCATCAGCATCAGCATCAGCATCATCATCATCATCATCATCATCCCAATCAGAGCTTGCCTCTGCAGGGGTCCTAGCGGACTCATATGGCTAGGTGAGGTTCGTCGCCGATTTCGGTGGCCGGTCGGGGTGCCCGGGTGCCTGGGGGGCCCGGGGTTCCCGGGTGCCCGGGTGCCCGGGTGCTCAGGTGCCCGGTAGCCCTGTAGTGCTATAGCCCTATAGCCATATAGCCCTATAGCCATAATAGCCCAATAGCCACCCAGCCCTATGGCCCCATAGCCTCATACCCTTATAACCTTATAGCCCTATAGCCCTATAGCCCTATAGATCTACAGCCCTATGGCCCCATGGCCTCATAGCCTTATAGCCTTATAGCCCTATAGCCCTATAGCCCTAGGGCCCATAGCCCTATAGCCCTATAGGCCTATAGCCCTATAGCCCTATAGCCCTATAGGCCTATAGCCCTATAGCCCTATAGCCCTATAGCCCTATAGCCCTATAGCCCTATAGCCCTATAGCCCCAGAGCCTTATAGACCTATAGCCCTACAGCCCTATAGCCTATAGCCCCATAGCCCTATAACCCTAAAAAGATCATGTTTGGGGCCTGTCTCTGGTATCCATATTGTTGTACTATTAGCATCATCATCAATACCAGATTCAGCATGTCATAACCATCGTCACCATGACCGTCGCCATGATCCGCCATAACCATCGTCATAACCATAACCATCGTCATAACCATCACCATCTTCGCTATCATCCGACAGTCAGGCTCCCCTGCGCAAGATGGTATCCAACGCGATGCACCAAGCAAACCTGGAGCCACGCGAAGACCAACCCGCAACAGGCGAGCCCGCGCGCGGAACATTAGCTTGCGCAGCCAAATCGCACAGCTGTATCATAAGACGGACGAGGACAAGGAGGAGGGAGGAGGAGGGAGGAGGAGGGAGGAGGAGGGAGGAGGAGGAGGAGGAGGGAGGAGGAGGGGGAGGAGGAGAGGAGGAGGAGGAGGAGGAGGAGGAGGAGGAGGAGGAGAGGAGGAGGAGGGAGGAGGGAGGGGGGAGGAGGAGGAGGGAGGAGACGGAGGAGGAGGGGGGAGGAGGAGGGAGGAAGGGAGGAAAGAGAGGGGCGGAAAAGCGGGCATCGTCATCTCCACCACCACCACCACCACCATCATCATCATCATCATCATCATCACCACCACCACCACCACCATCATCATCATCATCATCAGCAGCAGCAGCATCATCATCATCAGCAGCAGCAGCATCAGCATCAGCATCAGCATCAGCAGCAGCAGCAGCATCATCATCATCATCATCATCATCATCATCATCATCATCATCATCATCATCATCATCATCATCATCATCGTCATTATCATCATCATCATCATCATCATCATCAGCAGCAGCAGCAGCAGCAGCAGCATCCTCATCATCATCAGTATCATCACCACCATCATCGGCATCATCAGCAGCATCAGCATCAGCAGCAGCAGTACCAGCCTCAGAATCATAATAAACATCGTCGTCGTCGTCATCATCAGCAGCAGCATCAGAATCATCAGCATCATCAGCATCATCGTCAGCATCATCATCATCATCATAAGTATCATCATCATCATCATCATCATCAGCAGAAGCATCATCCTCATCAGCAGCAGCAGTATCAGCATCACCATCATCATCATCATCATCATCATCATCATCAGAATCGTCATCACCATCATCATCAGAATCATCATCATCATCAGCATCAGCAACATCATCATCAGCATCATCAGCATCATCATCATCACCAACACCACCACCAATATCATCATCATCAGCAGCAGCATCAGCATCATCATCAACATATTCATCATCAGCAGCATCGTCATCATCATCAGCAGCATCAGCATTCTCGGCATCATCAGCATCATCAGCATCATCATCAGCATCATCACCACCAGCATCATCACCACCGTCATCCTAGAAACTATCAGAGCATCCAGAACCCCGTAGAATCCTGAATTTCTGACCCTCCAGAGCCACCTGGAGCCCCTCCTTCTCTCCCCTCCTCTCTTTCCTCCCCCAGAGCCCAGGTCACTGATGCGACGGCCGCGAAAGAACTAACAACAACTGGTCCAAAGCCTGACCTGCTTCGTCCAAGGCTACCCAGACCCCGACGTCGGGACTACTTCAAAAAATTACCCCAGAGGTCTCGACTCATTCCCCAGGACAAGTTTGCGCGTCCTGAGTCGTCTTTTGACCGTCCCGCGGCCCGGCGAGGGCCCCGCGAGGCTGAAAATTGCCGCAAACCTCCCCTCGTGATTTCTTCACGATGCGAGGGGGCAAACAGTCTGGGCATGGCTTCCACAAGTAACGACGACTTGAATTCAGGTCGGGCATATCCTCCTACAGGCGGATTTTGGGAGAACGTTAAAACATAATCAACAAATATTCAGAAATAGTCCAAAGAGCACGAAAAATCGTCGCATGACTACGTTTTCACTATTCGTGACTACTCCTCCAGTAGAGGGACATGCCCGACTGGGTTCTGGCCAGACGACGAGAGCCAGGCCCCGTGCGGGCTGCACTTGTCTGATGTCAAGACCGGGCGCAGCGGTGCAGCGCTGGCGCCACGAAGGGAACCGCTGCACGGAGCTGCAGCAGGAGCTCGACCACGAGAAGCATTCCACCAGAAACCCAGCCCTGAGACCCCAGGGCGTCCACTGGTCTGTGGTGTGGGAGGGTCACGCTTTCCATCGCAAGGCCACCGAAACCCACGAAACCCACGAAACCCAAGGCGCCCTGGAGGCAGGCAGAGTGTTTCCCAGCACGAGCTTGCACTGTAGTCAAAATCGGACCTGGCAGTGGAGTCCTGGCAACACGAGAAGTACGGGGGGAAAGAACGGGGACGATGACCAAGACTGACCTCTGAAACGTCGTGTGGATCTTGGTCACCGTCGATCTTGGTCAGCATCGATTCGCGGATAATCCTCGCGACTCGGCAACGGCCGCCATAGACCGTGAGCCAAATCGTCATCGACAAGATCCCGCGACATCTTGGTCATGGTCCCCATGTTCCTTCACTCGAAACACAAGGAGTGCCCCTCTCACAGTTGCCCCCATCCTAGCAACGGAGTTCTGGCGAAACGAAGAGCGGGGATCCTGTGACTGTTGCACCGGGTCGATCAAGATAAGGCCCGTGAGTGGAGTTCGTGTACCTCGAAGAGGCAGGTCCTTGAGGACTGCACCCAGGTGAGCAAGATCAGGCCTTGCAGTGGAAGTCTGGCAACACGCCGAGGGACCTTCTGCGGCCTGCACCAGGCTGATCAAAGTCAGGCCCTGGAGCTGAGTTCTCGCAGCGCGAAGCCCCAAGGGAATACGAGGCGCGGGGTCCTCCGAATCTGTCGCGCTGACGGAGCTCTGGGCTACGGGGGGGCCCACGGGAGGCCCCGGGAGGCCCGGACTGGCCGCTTGTCATTTCTTCGCAGATCAGCGATGAGGAGGTCAGCTTCGCTCCCCGCTGTGAGAATCAGAAGGTCGCCAGGCAAACCATAAACTAGACACGGACGACCTGCGATGGGCAAACTCCTGCAGCGAACCCTGGCTTGAGAGCCAAACCTGGGCTGGCTACTTGTACAGAAAGAGCTCGTTACTCTCGCGAGGCTCAGATTCTGCGAGGCTCAGACTTTCCAGACTCCCGCTGGGGCACGCCACGCGGGGGGAGGAGGTGGCCCCGCCGGGCGGGCGCCGGGGGCTGCGCCAGGAGGACCAGAGCCAGCCCTGGGCGAGGAGGCAGAGCGATGATGGGACGCACCGGGACATACTAGTACTGTATGTCCTCCTTGGAGGCGCGCGTCCGACCCGAACATATATAGTGTACCCATCTTGTAGTGGATCGTTTCCCGAGCGGCGTGGCCAGAAAGCGCCCACCACGACGCATGTACTATAAGATTTCTCGGTGCGCGCGTCGCCCCTGGGCGCGTCGCCCCTGGGGGGGGGGGGGGCGACGCACATATAGTATAAGTATGTTGGGGTGACGCCGAGATGGTGCGGCCAGCTGCAAGGGTTGCACTCGAAGGAGCACAATCGGCCCCCGGGAATTTGGAGCACCATAGTAGCACGAAGAGGCGGGCCGCCGCCCGTGCTGCACCCGGATGGCCAGATCCTGGCCAGGGGCTTGGAGCTCTGGCAGCACTGAGAGTCTGGCCCCACCCACTGTGCGAGGCCACAAGCTCGAGCAACACAAAAAAACTCAAAGACAAGCCCAGAAAGAGCCCTGTTCGCGTGCGCTGGACCTGCTAGGGTGGGGGGGTACCAAGCCCCCCGCCCCCGGGCAAAGAGGGAAGCAAGGGTTCCGTGAACCTCACCCCGAGGTGCACGGGGAGAAGGAGGTTCCGTACCGCCCCTTCCTTGCGTCGAAGGGTGTGTACAGAACCTTCTCTAGAGAGGCGGGGGATTTGGGAGGGATGGGGGGGGCTGGAGCGGGGGAGGGGGGGCCCATGGTTTCAGAAGGGGCCTCTGGATTTATTGTTCTGGGGTGGGGGCTCCAGCTTCGAGACACCAGTTTGGAAATCCCACCTGCCATTTTGGGCGTGAGTGGTCTGGAGAGATTCCTCTTCCATCTTCCCTCTTTCCTTTCGGGGAGGGGTTTACCTCTCCACCTACGCCCTACCCCTGGACCTAGACGGGGGGGGCGCGAGGGGTTAGAGCGTCCAAGATGGCCTCGGCGAGAAGGCCTAAATCATTGATGTTACTAAGGTTTTGGCCACATGTTGGCCTCCTGGGGGGAGGGGCGTGCAACGCTTTTTGGAACCACCCTTCTTTGATCGTTCCCCTCCAAGATGGTCCCAAGATGGCCCCCGAGACTCCTCAGAGTGCCCCAAGACGGCCCCAAGATATGCGCAGGAGGCCCCCAGGATTCCCCCATGAGGCCACCAAGAGACCAAGAGAATCCCAAGAGAATCCCGAGAGGCCCCAAGAGGCCCCTCTAGAGGCATCCAAGACGCCCGAAGAGGCCTCGGCGAGAAGGTCAAGATCACCGATCTCACCAAAGTGTTGGCCACATTTTGGCAGCTTGGGGGGGGGCCTGGAGCCCCCGTCCTTTGATTGATCTCCTCCAAGATTGCCCCAAGATGGCCCCCGAGGCTCCCAAGGATGCCCCAAGACAGCCCAAAGGGGGGCCTGGGAGGCCCCAAGAGGCCCCCAGGATGCCCCCAAGAGGCTCCCAAAAGACCCCCAAGAGGCCCCAGGAGACCCCTCAGAGGCGCCCAAGACGCCCGAAGAGGCCCCTGTCAGGAGGCCAAAATCATTGATGTGACTCAGGTGGTGGCCACATGCTGGCCTCCTGGGAGAGGGACTCCAATTAAAGAGCCCCCCTCCTTTGATCGATCTCCTCCAAGAAGGTCCCAAGATGGCCCCCGAGGCTCCCAAGGGTGCCCCAAGACGGCCCCAAGAGGTGCGCAGGAGGCCCCCAGAGGCCCCCAAGAGGTCCCCAAGAGGCCCCAAGAGGCCGCCCAGAGGCACACAATACGCTGCAAGAGGCCCCCGGAACTGCCAAGAGACACCCAACACGCCCCAAGAGGATTCAAAGAAGCTTTACAACCAAATCCGAAGAGACCCCGAGGGGTATCCGAGAGGACTCTTGCCTTACTGCTCGCTCTCCTCCTCCTCCTCCTCCTCCTCCTCCTCCTCCTCCTCCTCCTCCTCCTCCTCCTCTCCTCCTCCTCCTCCTCCTCCTCCTCTCTCTCCTCCTCCTCCTCCTCCTCCTCCTCCTCCTCCTCCTCCTCCTCTCCTCCTCCTCCTCCTCCTCCTCCTCCTCCTCCTCCTCCTCCTCCTCCTCCTCCTCCTCCTCCTCCTCCTCCTCCCCCTCCGCCTCTTCCTCATCATCATGTTCCTTTTTCCGTCCTCCTCCCTCCTCCCCCTCCTCCTCCTCCTCCTCCTCCTCCTCCTCCTCCTGCTCATGCTCCTGCTCCTACTCCTACTCCTGCTCCTCTTCCGAATCCTCCTTTCTTCCGCTGCATGCTCCTCCACAACCCTGATCAGGGCAACTCGCCTGGACATCGCTTCTGGATGGGCTGATGAGGTTACGCGAAGCGCCTAGAACTGTCCAGGACAGGCGAACTTGAAATGCGCCCTCCAGCTTCAACTCAGTTGGGGTACCAGGCCAGTGGACCCCTGGGCGCCACCACTTCGACGGCGGCGGCGGCGGCCGCGCCGAGCCTGAACATCGCGACCCCCGATGTCGCCACCGCCGCCGCCCGACGCCGCCGATGCCGACGACTGCGACGCGACGGCCGCGGCGCGTCCTTCCCGTGGACGGCGCGGGCGGCGCCAGGCACGCCACCCAGCGGGGTGTGGAACGCGGCGCTGCCCAGCGGGGTGCCGCTCATCGGCGCGGGGGCGATGCTGGGAGACTCGCGCGGGGGGGGGGGGGGGGCAGACCCCATCGCGTCGCGGGGGTACTCGACGCAGAGATCCCCAAATGTGCATGTGACGTCCTTCTCCTCCTCCTCCTCCTCCTCCTCCTCCTCCTCCTCCTCCTCCTCCTCCTCCTCCTCTGAGCACCTTTTCCAGGAGAGATGGGGGAGACACAATTGGAAGAGCGAGGGGGGGGTCCTCTTGCAGGGGTCCTCTTGTAGTTCTCACTGCGGCAACTCGGGCAAGAGCGCATGGCGTTGGTACGCCCGCTCTGTGGCGTGCTACTCGCGGCGCCTGCTGGCATTTGGGCTGGCCAAGTGCCACGCCTGCTATATCGCAGTAACCATCTGTGTATGAGCATTCGTGTGAGTGAACATGAGCGTGAATGAGTTGAGCGTGAGCGATCTGAGTATGGTGCGTCTGAGTACGGACGGGTCGGAGTATGACCGAGTCTGAGTGTGAGTGAGTCTGAGAGCGAGTTGGTATGAGTGCGAGTGAGTCTGGATGCGAGCGAGTTTGAGTATGAGTATGATAAGTATGGGTCTGAGCACGAGTGAGCCTGAGTATGAGTGAGTCTGAGTATGAGTGAGTCTGAGGGTGGGCGGGTCAGAGTGCGAGTGAATCTAGGTGTGAATTAGTCTGGGCGTGGGTCAGTCCGAGTTCGGGTGAGTCTGAATACAGGTGAGTCTAAATATGAATAAGTCTGAGTATGGGCGAGTCTGATTATGGATGAGCCTGAATGTGATGAGTGAGCCTGGGTGGGGAAGAGATGCTGCTGTGTAAGGCTGAATGTGAACGAGCGCGTTTGAGTGAGGAAGAGGAGGAGGAGGAGGAGGAGGAGAAGGAGGAGGAGGAGGAGGAGGAGGAGGAGGAGGGGGAGGAAGAGGAGGCGGAAGTGAATGAGTGAGGAGCACACGGGTCCAAAAAGAAGCCTGGGAGGCCGAGACATGCAAACCACCTGAGGCATCCCGACAATATGGGCGCGACTGCCGGAATGCCTCCCCGCCCCCGATGGGGTGCCCAAGAGCAATGCCTGCCGCGTCGCTGTGAGCAGTAGACCACGAGAAGAGGAAAGCCTGGGGGCAGAAACAGGCAAACCGCCTGAGGCATCCCCACAACCTGTGCGCGAATCCTGGAGTGTCCCCTACCCTTGCTGCTCCCCCTTGTGGTGCCCAAGTGCCACGCCTGTCGTATCGAGGTGGGGAGTGGACCGCCCAAAAAGCAAAGTCTGGGATCGGCGCTGGCGGCGGACCTCACTGGCGCGCGGAGCGCGCCAGAGGCGCCGCCAAGGAGACTCGGCGCAAATCCTAGAAATCCGCACGGACCTCAGACAATTTATGTTTGTGTCGTTCTCTCTTCGTCGAAACACGGAAAACCATATTGGCGAGACAATCGATCCCTCAAAAAAAACTGCCCATTTAGGACCTACTACCCTCGTCAAAATGAGCCTCAAAAGTTGCTGGCACGTCATTTCGATTTCGGCACGCCCCTCAATGTCGACACGCCGCCCCTTCAATGTCGGGGCGAGGGCAAAGATAGTCTGACCGAAGTTGACTCGAAAGTTTGACGTCGACCGACATTGGAGGGGCGGCGCATGCAAGTACCCCGCACTCATCGATACTCGGCCCCAGATCTTCCGACAAGCAGTTCAACCACGTCAGACATCTTGAGGTTGATTTTGACGAGGGTTGTAGATCGAGAACTCTCAAGTCGCCACATGTCCAAGTATGACCCACGTCTACATCGCAGAGCGGGCGCAGGGGCTCGGCAGGGGCACGCCACTCCGACTGGTGGCCGCCGCCATCGCCGCGGCGGCCTCTCCAGAGGCCGGCTCGGGGCCGGAGGCCACGCAGCACAGCAGGCCTCGGCCGCCGACCCCCCGCGCACGAGACCACGGCGAGGAGGAGCGAGGAGGAAGAGGAGGAGGAGGAGGAGGAGGAGGAGCGGAGGAGGGAGGAGGAGGAGAGGAGGGAGGAGGAGGAGGAGGAGGAGGATGAGGAGGAGGAGGAGGAGGAAGAGCAGCGGCGGCGGCGGAGGCGACTCCCTCGCCGTCGGGGGCCGCGGCGCCCGCCGCCCGCGGCGCCCGCCACCCGCGGGCGCGCCTTCCGCGGCGGCGCGTCGGCCCCGTCGCACGGGCTCCTCGGGCGTCGTCGGCGCCGTGCGTCGGACGTCGTCGCCGCGGAGGGGTTTCGGGTCGCCGTCGGGCGCTGATTTCAGCATCGTCACCACCACCAGTGTGGATGCCATGACAAAGGACACTCTAACAATCCTATCATTGAGTTAAAGATGTGTTTAAAATGTGTAAGACATGTCCTAGAAACGTTTCACACATGTTTTCACATATTTAAAACTTGTTTGAAACATTTTTCAGACATCTGGAAGTTATTTGGCAGCATGCTTAATCGACTTCCACAACACCACCATCGTCACCACCATCAGCAGCAGCCGCAGCGTCTGTTCATGTCGTCGACGTGTGTCTGGACGTCGTTGCCGTGGGGGTGGTTCGGGTCGCCGGCGGGCGCTTTGTCGTTATCGTCACCACTACCATCGTCACCACCAGCAGCAGCAGCAGCATCGTCTGTTCGTGTCGTCGACGTGTGTCCGGACGTCGTCGCCGTGGGGGGCACCGTCGGACGTTGTTGCTGCTGTGGCCGTCCACGGCGATAACGCAACGGAAAACCGACCGGACCGGCACCGAAACCGAGACCGACCGAAATCGACAGGCCAAAGGCAGCCCAGAAGGGCCCAGCGACGCAGCGACGGCACAACGACCGACAAGACCGAAATGACCGAACGCAACCGGCTGCGACGCAGCCGAACCGACCGAACCGCGGACACCCTCGGTTAACGCGTCTTGACGCTCTTGCACCTCTGCGGCCATCTAGGAACCTCCAGACGTCTCTGGAGGCCTCCAGAGACCTGAGTCGCCGTCGCCGCCGTCGAGGCCGTCGTCGATGTCGACGTCGTCGTCGCCGCCGTCGAAGCCGTCGTCGTTGCCGCCATCGTCGCCGACGTCGTCACCGTCATCTGAGGACCGGGGGCTCAGGACCCCAACAATCGGCGATCGAACATTCTGGATCGAGGTCCTCGGATCCAGGTTTCGGGGCGGCTCTGGTCTTTGCTGGGCCGCTGGGAAGTCTCCTCGCCGCTACGAGTCTTCCTCGCCATCGTCGCCTTCTTCTCTTCCCCAACCCCGCGCCCCTAAATCAAAAGGAAAAACAGCATAAACAGAAACGTTTCGCGCTCCGCGCGGATTTCTTGATCCACGCTGGACCCCCTCCCTGGCGCGCGGAGCGCGCCCTGCGCCAAAAGGTTCTGCTTATGCCGTGTTTTCGTCTTCGAGCCACGAGTCCTCCTCGCCGTCGTCGTCGCCGCCTCCTCCTCCTCCTCCTCCTCCTCCTCCTCCTCCTCCTCCTCCTCCTCCTCCTCCTCCTCCTCCTCCTCCTCCTCCTCCTCCTCCTCCTCCTCCTCCTCCTCCTCCTCCTCCTCTTCCTCCTCCTCCTCCTCCTCCTCCTCCTCCTCTCCTCCTCCTCCCCTCCCCTCCCCCTCCCCCTCCTCCCCCTCCCCCTCCTCCTCCTCCTCCTCCTCCTCCTCTCTTCCTCCCTCCGCCTCCTCCTCCTCCTCCTCCTCTTCCTCCTCTTCCTCTTCTTCCTCCTCCACCACCTCATCCTCCACCTCCTCCTCCTCATCCTCCTCCTCCTCAAACTCTTCCTCCTCTTCCTTCGCGCTCCCAGAAGAAGACACATCTGGATAAGCATGAACGTTCAGAGGTCTGCGCGGCTCTCGAAGGTCGCAGCTGGACCGGTCTCTCCGCTGGTGCGTGGAGGAGCGCGCCAGGCGCCCGAGGCGCAGAGGCGCGCGTCGTCCGTCAGGGCGTGCGTATAGCAGGGCTTCGCGATAAGGATGCAGGGACTTCGGAGCCGTGTCGACACTGTTCGAACGGGGTTGGCCAGCGGAAGGTGCCAAGGATGGGCCGAGGGTGCAGGGATGATGCGGGGGTAACCTTGGAGAGTCGCTCATGCTTACTGTGCGACTGGTGTGCTGGGCTCGCCCCCGCTGTATTGCCAACGCACTGTCGACAGCACGACAGGCGGCGTCACTCGCGCACGGCAAGTGCGCCTAGATTCGACATGCGGTGTGCCGCTGACGTCTTGACGGCGACACTGGCCAGAAGGCCGCCTGGGGCAGAAAAGACACCTGCCATACAAATGGCAAATGGGACGAGCATGATAGGAGATAGCACCGATGGCTTTTGACTGGACACTCTACGCGTCAGACCGGCGCCGCATGCCAAATCCCAACAGCCTGGAGGAGGAGGAGGAGGAGGAGGAGGAGGAGGAGGAGAGAGAGAGGAGGAGGAGGGAGGAGGAGGAGGAGAGGAGGAGGAGGAGGAGGAGGGGGAGGGGAGAGAGGAGGGAGGAGGAGGAGGAGGAGGCGGGGGAGGAGGAGGAGGAGGAGGAGGAGGAGGAGGAGGAGGAGGAGGACGAGGACGAGGAAGAGGAGGAGGAAGAGGAGGAGGAGGACGACGACGACGAGCAGAGGCAGGAGGAGGAGGAGGAGGAGGAGGAGGAGGAGGTGGAGGAGACCTCTGGGTTCAGGTGGTTTAGGGAGCCAGCTCGCCCCCCCGACACGGGCCTCGGCCTCCGCTCGGGTGCTGCCAGGGGCGGCCCTGGCCCGAGGTGGCCCAGGGCGCTTCCGGGAGCGGTCCAGGTGGCCTCCGGGGCAACCCCTGGCAAGCTGGACGGGACAGGAAGAAGCCGCGCCAAGACGGCGCATCGGCACAAATTGGATTGAAAACGAAGGCCTGAAAAATGTGCGGAAAATTATGCGGAATGCACGTGCGCCGGGTCGCATCCACTGTTCATTGACCATCGCAAGCTGCCACGCCCGAAGTGGGTGCGGAAAAAACTGGGCACGATGCCCAGCAACAACGAATGTTGTACAAAGCCGACAGCGGCCGCCGTTGGGCAGGCGGCCTCCTGCCTCAAACGGACACAGCGTCCGAAGCGACGCCGGCAGCCGATCCTGCTCAAAATGGGCTCGACGTGCTGTTGGTCTTCGTACCCAGTCCTTCCGTGCCCATTTCGATCGTGCCGAGCAAGGCCCAGAGGGCCCCCCAGGGGTGCCGTGGAATGGCGCGAAAAGCTGGGGCCGTCTGGGATCAGGGTTGAGAGGCAACGATAGGGGGCGACTGGCTCAGTGGGGGGAACATCGAGCTGGAATCGGCGATACATCGCCTATAGATCGGCGATAGGGCCCTGTTTGCGAATCTGCACGTGCCGGGGCGGTGTGGGGCTATCAGGCCCCTATCGGCGATCAATGGGCGATTGGGGGCCGATGCACCCCCCACTGAGCCTATCCTACCCTTTCGTTGCCCTTGACGGGGTCCTGTGAAATGGCGCTAAGAGCTGGGGTCGTCTTGGACCAGGGTCACCTCTGCCAACTCGCCAAAGAGGGAAACGAGGGCACGGAAGGAAACGGATCGTGCATCCAGGGCTCCTACTCCCACCTCCCTCCCTCTCCCATCCCTCTTCTTCCTCCTCCTCCTCTTCCTCCTCCTCCTCCTCCTCCCTCCCTCCCTCCCTCCCTGCCTCCCTCCCTCCCTCCCTGCCTCCCTCCTTCCCTCTTTCCCTCCCTCCCATCCCTTTCCATTCCCTTCCCTTCCCCTCCCTTCCCTCGCTCGCTTCCAGGACCAGCGTTTCATCCTGGCTTCTTTTGTTGACCTCCCGGAGGGGCCCGGGGAGGGCCAGAGACAAATAAACAGCAAACGACCTCCAGGAGCCCGAGGACGCCACACCTTCATGCGGGGCACCACTCGACCCGCTCCGCCCTCGCGCGTTGCTAAAGGTGCCCCTGGCCCAAGGTGCCCCCAGCTCTTCGCTCCATTTTGGAGCCCCTGGGGCCCTCTGGACCTCGCGAGTGGTGCTCTGGAGCCCGTGGGGGCCTCCCTGGCAATCCTGGGGGCACCTTGGGCCAGGGGCACTCCTGGCAACACCCACCCCCCCACCGCGGGGCTCCGGAGGACCAGGTCCGCCACGTCGCCAGCGCTGGCGCCTGAGCGGAGGCCGGCGGCAGAGGGGAGGAGTCGCGGCGGCGACGGCAGCAGCCTCGGAGCGCGCAAGCAAGGCGCAGATCCTGGCAACTGCGCCGTGGCTAGTGCGCCCGTGCCTGTTCAGGCGAGGCGCGCGAGGCCGCAGCCGCGGCAGCGGCAGCGGAGGCGCGGGCGGCAGCAAGGGCAGAACCTCTTGGAAGCCTGTCGTGTAGCCAGAGGGGCCGTGCCACACTGGGCGACCCCGAGCCACCCCAGTGCAAGGGGGGCCGAGGGCCCCTGCTGGGCACGGCTCAGGGCAGGCCTGAGCTGGATCGAATCGCGAAGTCGGGTCAAGGTCAGATGTGGAAAGGATCGGATCGCGCCTGAATCGTCGCGGAATCAGATCGGAGTCGGACCGCTTGGCATCGCTGATCGGGCTGGCCCCCTGCAAGCTGGAGAAGGACTCGGTTCGCGTCGGATCGGATCGGATAGAAATCGGAATCAGGATGTACAGATCGGATCGGACCGAGTCGGGCCGCGAGCACCCATGTCAGGGCCAGTACACGTTTCACCACGTCCACCCGACTGGATCCCGCGAGGGAGGTCCCGCCTTCAGGTCCGCGCCTGGCGGGGCCGAGGCGGAGACAGAGACCGAGACGGCCAGGGCAGGAGTTTGGGGGTTGCTTACGGTCTCTGCGCACTCCCTCGGGCTCGCGCTCGCCTCCGCAGTGCGAAGCATCCCGCGCATCTTCAGAGCAGGCCCACTCTCGTTGGTGTGTGCATCGTCATGATCACCATCACCGCCATCACCACCACCATCTGTAGCCATCATCATCATCATCATCATCATCATCATCATCATCATCATCATCATCATCAGCATCAGCAGCCGCAGCAGCAGCGGCATCAGCGGCATCATCATCCTCATCATCATCATCATCATCATCATCATCATCATCATCATCATCCCAATCATCATTATCAAAATCATCATCATCATCGTCATCGTCATCATCGTCATCATCGTCGTCATCGTCGTCGTCCTCGTCGTCGTCGTCATCATCATCATACTCATCATCAGCATCAGAATCAGCATCATCATTATCATTATCATTATCATCATCAGCACCATCATCATCATCATCATCATCAGCATCATCATCATCATCATCATCATCATCATAATCATCATCATCATCATCATCATCATCCTCATCATCATCATCGTCATCGGAATCGTCGTCATCGTCATCGTCATCGTCATCGTTACAGTCATCGTCATCGTCATCGTTACCCTCATCCTCATTACCATCCTCATCCTCATCGTCATAATCATCATCATCGTGGTCGTCATCATCATCTTCATCATCATCGTCATCATCAGCATCAGCATCATCATCATCATAATCATCAGCAGCATCAGCAGCAGCAGCATAATCATCGTCATCATCATCATCACCACCACCACCACCAGCACCACCACCACCATCATCATCATCATCATCATCATCATCATCATCATCACCATCATCATCACCATCATCACCATCATCATCATCATCACCCCAATCATCATTATCAAAATCATCATCCTCATCATCATAATCATCATCATCATCATCATCATCATCATCATCATCGTCATCATCATCATCATAATCAGAATCATAATCATACTCATCATCCTGAAAATGAGCATCATCATCGTCATCGTCATCATCGTCAGCCGTCGTCATCATCATCAGCATCATCGTCGTCATCGTCATCATGAACACTCGTAATATCACCATCAGCATCATCATCAGCAGCATCCTCATCATAATCATCATCATCAGCATTAGCATCAACATCGTCATAGACATATTCGTCATCATCGCCGTCGTCGTAATCATCAAAATCTGAATCATCATAATCATCGTAATCATCATCATCATCATCATCATCATCATCATCATTATCATCATCATCATCATCATCATCCTCATCATCACCATCATCATCACTAACATCATCATCATCATCATCATCATCAGCAGCAGCATAATCATCGTCATCATCATCCCAATCATCATTATCAAAATCCTCATTATCATCATCATCATCATCATCATCAGCATCATCATCATCATCATCATCATCATCCGCATCATCATCAAAACTATCGTCATCGTCATCATCGTCATCATCATCATCAGCTTCATCATCATCATCATAATCAGCATCATAATCACACTCATCATCCTGAAAATCAGCATCATCATCGTCATCATCGTCACCATCGTCGCAGCCATCGTCATCATTATCAGCATCATCGTCTTCGTCATTGTCATCATAATCACTCGTAATATCACCATCAGCATCATCATCAGCAGCATCATCATAATCATCATCATCAGCATTATCATCACCATCATCATCGTCATAGACATATTCGTCATCATCGCCATCGTCGTAATCATCAAAATCTTAATCATGGTAATCATCATAATCATCATCATCATCATCATCATCTTCTTCTTATTCATCATCATCGCCGTCGTCATCACCGCCACCACCATCATCATTAGCCATCAGCATCATCAACATCGTCACCATCATGATCATCATCAGCATCGTCGCCATCATCATCAACATCATCAGCATCAGCATCATCATGATCATCATAATCATCAGAGTCATAATCACGGCCACCACCAGGATTAATCATCATCACCACCACCACCACCATCATTAGGCATCATGATAATCATCATCCTGACCACCGCAAACATTAGTAAGCATCATCATCACCACCACCATCATCATTAGCCGCCATTATTATAATCATCAACATCAACATCATCATCACCATCGTCGTCATCATCATTATCAACAACATCATCCCCATCACCATCACAATCAGCACCATCACCACCATCATCATCATCATCATCATCATCATCATTATCAGCACCATCATCATCATCATCATCATCATCATCATCATTATAATCGTCATCGTCAGCATCCTCATCACCACCATCATTATGCACCACCATCATCGTTGTCGTCGATGTCAGCATCACAACGATCGTCTTCGCCACCAGAATTTTTATTAAAAACGACCCATCTTCAAATCATCACCGAAACAAACATCAACATCATCATCGCCATCGCCCTCGTCATCGCGATCGTCACTGCAATTGAGCATCACAATGATCATCACCATCACCGTCGTCATCGTCATCCGGACAATCAGCACCACCATCACCATCAGCATTGTCATACTCATGTCTTCTATCGCCACTCGTTATCATGCGGGACATCAGCACACCACCACTATTATCATCGTCATCGTCGTGGTCCCAATGATCGTGATCAGCATCAGCGTCCTCATCTTCGTAGCTCCTCTGCCCCAAGCTCACATCCCTGCCCCCCTCCTCCGCCCCCTCAAGGCCCACTACTACTGCCCTTTCCCCCTCCTTCATGCCCGCCTCCACTGCCTACTCGCTCTCATATCCCTCCTCCTCCTCCTCCTCCTCCTCCTCCTTCTAATCCTGATTCTACCCATTCTCCTCCGAAACTTCACCATCCCCGTGCATATCTTTCATCACGGAGAGTACCCCCCCCTCCACGCATCCTCTTCCCGACACGTCTGCGTTCCTTTCAACACCCTGCGGTTGGCTGAAACCCGAACAAGAGCAGAGCCTGCCTGTCCTCCCCCCTACTCCTTATCCTCCTCCTCCCTCATTCGCATCGTCTCGGTGCCCCTCCTCCTCACCGTGCACCCTCAAGCGGGCCGACGAAGCGGAGCTTCAGAGGCACGCCCGCTGCCCACACGACTGGCCCTGGCCGACACTCCAGACGACAAAGGCGCGGCGACCACGACGCCGGGGCCGACGGCTGCGACGCCGATGCCGACGACGCCGACGACGACGCCGACCCCGACGCCGACGCCGATTTCAGCGACGACGACGACGACGGCAATGCCGACGGCGGCGGCGCCGCGCTGAAAACGGCAGCCACGGGGACAAACCAAGCAAACAGGCCATTCCCTCCTCCGCTGGTCCTGACGCGCCGTGGTTGCGCATGGTGTCCTCCAGCTGCGACCACGCGGCCGCCCACTGGAAGGGGAGGCGCGGCGCGGAAAAAAAAACAGGAAAGGAAAAAGGACCGGGAAAAAAAACGAGGGGGACCGGGTGGCACTTTTCCGGGGGGGGCGGGGGGATGGAAGACAGGGAGTGCCAGGGGGCAAAAGCATGGAAAGGGGTGCGGGAAGGGGAGGCGGGGCACGGACGAGAGGATGGGCACAAATTGTTCGGGGACCGGAAAAATAACTTTGAGCCGCACACACAAACACACAAACACATAGGCACACACACATATATATATATATATAGATATAGATATATATATATATATATATATATATATATATAATATATATATATATATATATATATATATATATAGTATATATATAAAACATATACATGTACATATACATATACATATACATTTACATATACATATACATATACATATACATATACATATACATATACATTTACGTATACATATACACATACACATACACATACACATACACATACATATACATCTACATATACATATACATATACATATACATATACATATACATATACATATACATGTACGTATACAAATACATATACACATACATAAACATATATCTATACATATACATATACATGAACATATACATATACATATACATATACATATACATATACATATACATATATATACATATACATATACATATACATATACATATACATATACATATACATATACATATACATATACATATACATATACATATACATATACATGTACATGTACATGTACATATACATATACATATACATATACATATACATATACATATACATATACATATACATATACATATACATATACATATACATATACATGTGCATATATATATGTGTGTATACATACATATACATATACTTATACATATACATATACATATACATATACATATACATATACATATACATATACATATACATATACATATACATATACATATACATATACATATACATATACATCGGAAGTGAGGGGTGAGATCGAAGTGGAACGGAAAGCCCCCCTACCAGGAAATCGATTTCGGTTTCGTGTTCGTGCGTGCCGTGCGTGCGGGCGAGGCGAAGCTGCGTGGGCGGGCGAGCAGAAAGTCTCCTGTGGCTGAGGCGCGGCCGGAGCAAATGTCTCCCTTCCGGGCGGCCGGGGCCCCGCGGTGTCCCGCCGGTGTCCCGCTGGTGTCCCGTCGGTGATGATGATGATGATGATGAGGATGACGATGATGATGATGATGTTGACAACGATGATGATGAGGGTGATGACGATGGTGGTGATGATGGTGAGTTCGGTCGTGAGATCGATAGTGAAACCGAATGTGAGATCGACCGTGAGATCGATTGCGATATCGATAGTGAAGTCGATAATGAGACCCAATGTGAGATCGATTGTGAGACCGATAGTGAGTTCGATAGTGAGATCCATGGTGAGACCGAATGTGAGATCGATTGTGATATTGATTGCGATATCGATAGTGAAATCGATAGTGAGATCGAACGAGAGGTTGATCATGACTTCGACAGTGAATTCGATAGTGAGATCCATAGTCATATCGATTGTGAGATCGATTGTGATATCGATAGTGAGATCGATAGTGAGACCGAATGAGAGATCGTTTGTGAAATCGATTGTGAGATCGATCGAATGAGATCGATAGTGATATATCGTGAAGACCGAATGTGAGATCGATCGTGAGATCGATAGCCAGATCGATTGTGAGATTTATTGTGAGATCGATTGTGATATCGATAGTGAGATCGTTAGTGAGATCGAGTGTGAGATCGATAGCCAGATCGATTGTGAGATTGATCGAATGAGATCGATAATGAGATCGATAGCGATATCGATAGTGAAATCGATCGAGTGCGACGGTGGTCCCCCCCCCCCCCTCTCGCCTCCTTATCACCCGAAGGGTGGTGTCTATGCGGTATACATATACATATACATAAACATACATACATACATGAATACATATACATACATACATACATGCATACATACATACAAACATACATACATACATATCGGCGGCGCCCCAGGGACCTCAGGCGCGGTCGACAAGTGGAGGTGCCAATTGCGAACGGACTTGGTCGAAGGCGCCATGATGAAAGAGCCCACTCACGGCAATGCAGACTGGTGGTGGAAGACGAGAGGTGCTGCAAAGCCAAAGCGAAAACGCCGAAACCCCCAAGGAACAGAAGCTCGATGCGGGGTAGTTTACATACACACACACACACACGCGCGCGCACTTTCTGGTCGTCGCGGATGGGTAACTCGCCACACCGTCAGCCGCGCCGCGCGCAGGACCGCGCGCGCGCCCATTGGTCGCAAGGGAAAGGCGAGACGGCCGAGACGCATCACGGGGCGGTGGCCGGGCGCGGCGCCAGGGCGCCGAGGCAGCGAGGCAGCGAGGCAGAGCTGGCTACCGGCGGGGCGGCGAGGGGGTTCCACTACTCGCAAGTCAACCACTCGCAAGTTGCCCGGACCCGCCGCGGGGGATTTACGATATATCACCTGGAGGAAGACCTGTATATTTCGAAAGTTTGCGGGTAGGCGCTCGGCGAACCCTGTTCTGACCGACGGGCCTGGGAAGGGCGGAGAGGAGCCAAAAGTGCGGGGCGAGAGCGGAGGAGGGCCCGACACCCCGGGCGGAGACGAGCGGCCGCCACGTTTGCTGAGGGCGGCGGCGCAGAGGATCCTCAGGCGCGGACGGCAGATGGAAATGCCAATTGCGATCGAGCACTGTCGAAGGCACAGTGTACACACCGTGCGCACTGTCAAGTGCAGCGAAGGGTGGAGTGACAAATCCAAACTGGTTTTGCATGGGCGACTGAAAAAATCCGCCACGAGGCGCAAGCGTAGAATCCGTTGCTCGCTCCACATGCGTCGGGATAGGTAATCTTCGCTCGTGAAGAGAGTGCCTTGTGAGGAGCAAGCGTGGCGGCCCTCACTTGGACACTACGCGCGGTCAACTCCACGCCCTCATTACGCACGTTCGTCAGAATAATCCCAAAGCACTATGTGACCTGGCTCCGTCAACCCTAACATTCCAAAGTGGGGACACTATGTGTGCTTCTTCCATGTGGTATAAGTCGCGATGTGCCTTGTGAGCACCCTTGCCTCGAAACGAAAGAAGAACCTTGGTCTTGGAGGGGTAAGCCAACTCTGCTGCACTTGGAGTGGTGACGCAGGGGGTGAGATCATCAACAAAGGAGACTGGTACGATATGTTTGACATCGATGTCACCATGCGAGAAAAGCTGGGCACCCACATTGGGTCCCCGCTCTAGTCCATGAGCTGCAGCCTCATTCTCCATGTCTTGCTGCACAGTCGCAAAGACTACATTGAAGAGGTCGGTCGCCATCACAGTGCCTGGTCTCGTGCCTGTCCTCGGTGCAACATATGCTTGAGCTCCCTCGACGGCCCAGAAAGAGCCTCTACGCGTCCCCAACAAGGCAAGAAGATCGTCCTCCTCCTCCTCAGTATCAGCATCAGCATCAGTATCATCATCATCATCATCATCATCATCATCATCATCATCATCATCATCATCATCATCATCATCATCAGCATCATCGTCATCATCATCATCAGCATCATCATCATCACCATCATCATGAGCATCATCCTCGTCATCCTCGTCCTCATCCTCATCCTCATCATCATCATCATCATCAGCATCATCATCATCCTCATCATCCTCATCCTCATCACCTCACCACAATCACCATCATCAGCAGCATCATCAGCATCATCATCATCGTCAGCATCATCATGATCATCATCATCACCACCACCATCATCATCAGCATCAACATCAGCATCAGCATCACCACCATCATCATCAGCAGCATCAGCATCGCCAGCAATGTTGTCTCATAATCATCATTAACACCACCAGCATCACCATCATCCATCCAGAGCAGCCACTGCATTTTCCTCCTAGCCCCAGCGTCTTCCTCCTCGTCATCCTCACCATCACCACGACAACCGCCGCCATCATCACCATAGACTCCATCATCTTCACCACCACCACCATCACCTTGAGCACCAGCAGCATCGTCATCTGTAGAATCATCAGCATCATCATCATCATCATCACCATCATCATCATCATCATCATCATCATCATCATCATCATCATCATCCTCATCCTCATCCTCATCCTCATCATCATCATCATCATCATCATCATCATCATCACCATCACAACCGCCACCGCCACCACCGTCGGGCCTGCTCCTCCATGACCTTCTTCCACTCGGCGCTGCACATGTCCTTGAACTCCCCCGACAGGGCGCTGAGGTCGCGCTGGAGGTGGCGCACCGCCGCCTCGTCTCCAGCAGGAGGAGGCGGGGGCGACCAGAGGGCAGAATGAGGAGGCATGACGAGAAGAGGGGCGGAAAGGAGAAGGAGAGAGGGAGGGGAAAGGAGGGAAGGGAAGAGAGAAGAGCAAGAGGGAAGAGGGAAGAGGGAAAGGGAGAGCGAAGGAGGGAAGGGGGAGGAGGGAAGGGGGAAAGGGGAAGGGGAGAGGGAGGGGAGAAGGAGGGAGAAAGCGAGGCTCGAAAGCCCACGTAAAGAAGCCCGCCGTAGGCGCCGTTTTCCCTTCAGCGCAACAAGTCCGCTGCAAGCGGTTTTTTGTTTCAGTTCTTCGCGGGTATGTCGCGCGTGGGTGGAGGGAGGAAGGGAGGATGACGAAGCGGGGGGGGAGAGGGAGGGGGGGAGAGGAGTGAGGGAGGAGAAGGGAGAGGAGTGAGGGGGAGAGAGCAGGGGGGAGAGGAGGCAGGTGCGCTCGCGTCATATTTGACATCTACCCTGCACGCCCATCCCATCCCCCTGCGCCAGTGTTTGTCTACACCTCCGACGGGTGTCACAGCGGACGTAGAACCCGACGTGATGACCCCGTAGAGTTGTTGCCATCGCCGATCCAAGAAATCCGAGTGGCGGCGGCGATGGCGGCGGCGGCGGGGGGGGCGGCGGCGGCGGCGGAAGGAAACGGTGGCGGCGGAAGGGAACGGTGGCGGCAGCGGCTGCGGCGGCAGCGGCTGCGGCGGCGGCAATTCGGCAGCGGGGGCGGCGGCGGCGGCGGCGGGCGGCGCGGTGGCGGCGGCGGCGGCGGCGGCGGCGGACAGCGGCGGCGGGCGGCGGCGCTGCGGCGGCGGCGGCGGGGGCGGCGGCTTCGGCGGCGGAGGCGGCGGCGGCGACGGCGGATTCGCCCCCAGTTGCTGCCCATCCCAAGACGACTGCTGCATATGTTGCGGCTCGGGCCAGGCTCGGGTGCTACGTATGTGTTGGGAAGGCGGGTGGGAGTGAGCGAGACGGCTTGCGGGCGGGGGGGGAGTTGTGATCACTGTCCCCTATGCATATACACCCCCTCCCCCAGGCGACTGGGAGCCAACCAAGGTCCATGCGGGCACCCCCCCACCATTCCTTGCAAAAAAACAATACAAACACACTCTGCCTCCAAATCGGGAGCATGCGCAGCGAACCCGATGCGGCCTCCCCCCACCATCCCAATCAAAAAAATAAGACAGAAAACATTTGGCGGCGGCGGCGGCGGCGGCTGCGGCGGCTGCGGCCGGGGCAGCGGCTGCGGCGGCTGCGGCGGTGGCGGCGGCGGTGGCGGCGGCGGCGATGGGGGCGGAGGCGGCGGCGGCGGCGGCGGCGGCGGTGGCGGCGGCGGCGGGCGGCGGGCGGCGGCGGCGGGGTGGCGGCAGCGGCTGCGGCGGCAGCGGCTGCGGCGGCGGCGATTCGGCAGCGGGGACGACGGCGGCGGCGGCGGCGGCGGGCGACGCCGCGGCGGCGGCGGCGGACGGCGGCGGCGGGCGGCGCGGCGGTGGAGAGGGAGGCAATAACGACGGCGGCGGCGGCGAGGCG